GGGCCCTGACATCCACTCACTATTGTACTCCTCTCAGCAACCCTGTGAGGAAGAAATGAGTTCAGAGAGCAGAGCTGGAACTCAAGCTGGCATTCTGACTTCAAAGCTACTAGGCCACACTGCCTCCCACACACGATCTGCCAGTGGAGACAGTGGGGTCACAGGTCAGGATGTGGTTGCGGGTGAACAGACCAAGAGGCTGTCACCATCAAGCCTGTGATTTTAGAGAACGATAGATGTGCTCAGGATCCCCAGGGTCAGGGGTCAGACCTGCCCCTCCCCACAGCTGCTCCCCCTAGGAGGGCAAGAGGGGCTGGCTTCCTTATGCCAGGAGTGCAGACTGTGAGGAAAAAGGTGCCATACTGGGTGTGCTCACCTGCCACCTCCACAATCTGGTGCCGGGCGATGTCATAGTAAGGGTCATCCCACTTCAGGTGTGTGACAGGTTCCGGGGAGCTGCTTTTGGAGTCATCTGAGGAACATGGCAGAGTTAGGGGCTCACCTGGGGGCTGGCCCAGTGTTCTCCCTGAAACTCGTGCTCCTTGATCCTCCCCTCAGTAAGGCTTGTGCTCCCAGCCCCACCCTGCGGCTGCTCTGCTGGCCCCCACCCGCCCTCCTGGGGTCTCCCTTCAGCAGGAAGGGGTCTCCCCACTGAGGTACCCATGGCTGCCTGAGATCTGGCACTGCCGACCTGACTTGGGAAAGTCGGGCATGTCATCTGAGGGCCAGTTCTTCTCATCAATGGATGCTAGCTTCAGCTGGTTCAGAGCCTGGCTGGTGTCATCCAAGGTCAGGTCCTCCTGCAGCTCGGAGAGTGGGTCCATGGACATGCCTGTCCCCCACAGCCTCACTCCACAGAACCCAAAGAGAAACCTGGAGGGGGGATGTAGCGGGTCAATGACATCCTCTTTTTACCTATAACTTCTACAGCAAGCCCTCCTGCCCCCACTCGTTCCTCTCCCAAGCTGCCTTGTTCCTGTTCCTCAACACTTCTCATCCTTGCCAAGAGCTCCGTGTGGCTCCTGGTTCTCCTGGTGTGACAGTTTGCTGGCAGGTTGCCAGAAAAGGCAGCTGGGACAGAGATGGCACAGCTCAGTGCCTGCCTTCAGGTCCTCCAGCTGGACAGCGAAGAGCTGTGCCAGGCCCTGTGTTGCCCACTACCCAGCTGGCTCAGTCATGCAGTCCCAGCTGCAAAGGGTAGAGGTCCAGGCCCCTCTCCACACGGGTCACAGAGCACAGACGCTTCCCAGGCCCCAGCAGGTATGCAGTAGAGATGCTGCCAGAATCTAAGGAGCACAGGGATGCTCCAAACCCCCTGCCTGAAAAAGGGCAGCTGTGGCCCTGGCCACTCCATCCCTGACCCCTGGCCTAGGCAAGAGGAGGTGGCCAGAGACCACAGGGTCCCAGAGAAAGGCCAAGGCTGAGGGGCCCAGCTGGGTTTGCCCTAGGACAGAAACAAAGAGCAGGTGATAGAATCTGCCCGCCTGCTGGTCACAGCAGACTACCTGCAGGCCCCTGGGGGCCTGACTTGGGAAATAGCACTCTAATCTGCAGGGAGCTCCTGATAACACTAGTTTCAAAGTGGGAAAGATCAACAGACTGCCCCAAGGCTGGGAGGGCACAGCCGGGAAAGAGGGAAGGCCATGACCTCCAGAGGGCTGAGATGAAGGTGAAAAACAGAACGGCAGCTACAGCAGGCTGGGAGGGAGAAGAGCCTACTCTGACCCTGGGGTTCCCCAGGTCTGGGGTCTGGCTGTCAGGACGTGCCTGCATGTGGCCTGGGGGCAGCACCTTCTGTCCTCAGCCCTAAGGGGAAGCCAATCCCTCTCCCACGGCGAGCTCACCATCTGGGTGAGGGAGGGGAGTTTCAACTCAACTCACTCAGTCCAACCCCAGAGAAGAGGCTGCTCTAAGCCCGCTGCATTCCTGAAGCCCAAAAATGACATATATGGTCAGAGAATCGGCAGAACAGATAAGGAGTGTGGGACAAGACCAGGCGCGGGTAGGGGGAAGAAGGGAGAGCTGCCAGCAGAGATCCAGACCCTGAACACCTCTGGGCTCAGAGACTACGCGACAACCTCCTGCATGCGTCACAGCCGAGGACTCTGGATGGTAAACTGGCTCCCTGTGCCTAGCAACAACCACCCCATTACCAGGGCAACCACACTGATTAGGTGGCAAAAGCTGTTTCAAGCTCCTGAGCCTAAGCCCAGCAGCCGAACAGCCAAAAAACAGTCCTCTTCTCTCCATTCCTTTCCGAGGGCCTTATCTGCTACCCTTATTCACTCCGCTCCTTACCACCAAAACATAAGTCCCTTCCCATGAACGCAGAGAACGATGACTCTGATTTGGGAGTGCCTTTCTCTCAGGGAGTGCTGCTGGGCCCCTCACCCCAGCCCCTCCTCCATCTTCAACCCTCCAGTGCAGGCAGCCCTCAGCCTTGAGGAATCTATTCCTGACTCATCTCCATGCTCCTTCCCCCATTCAACCAGGAGACTCTGAGGGCTCCTCAAAAGGGGACCCTACTGGGTAGCAGGGACAGAATTCAGCTCAAAGCAATCCTCTGTAGGCCTGAGCCTTGTCTCCATCCCTTCTCTTCTGTCACTGCCCAGGCACCAAGTGCTCCTTCAGCCCCGCCCATAGCCATCCCAGAGAAGTCTTTCTGCATACAGCGGGTGCTTGATGCAATGAAAAAGGCATGGGATGAGGTATATGGAGAACTGGATTCTAGCCCTGCCTAAGCCAATGAGTTGCCAAGATGCTGGGCGAGTCCTCTTCCTATCTGGGCCTAAATTTACTCATTTATAGAAGTGAAGGTCCCTCCCAGAAATATAATTCTCCGGTGTTCTAAAATACTTGTGCTAAAGTGAACAACAGAATTAGAAGGAGCAGCTGGGAGCTGAAGTACATGGGAGGGAGGGAGGGAGAGACTCTCTAAAAGGGAGCCGAACTTGAACTCCATCTCTTTTTCCAGTAACAACTCCTCTGTTTTGTCAGTCTTCCAGGACTGACCCCTCCCCCGCTCCATGGCCTCCATTTCCAGAATAACTAATCACAGTTGTTCCCACCTCCCCAGCCAGACAGGCCTCTCTCGCCACCCTCCAACCCACAGCTGTTGCCCGCTGTGAGCCCAGAAGCAGAGCTTCCCTTCAGGCGAAGGGTCAGGAAGCACTAACATAAAGCAGTGGAAATGAAGCATCCTGGCTGCCTAAGACTCCAGCCACCTACAGGCCTGCTCCACGCCCTGTAAAATACTCCTTACTTTGAGATTAATTTTTCCCTTCTCAGTAGGTAAAATGCCTACCTTTACAAAAATCTTTGAGAATCACTTTAGCCAGAGGTTTTAACCTCTGGGAAGTCCTAGATCTGTCGGAAATTCTGATGAAATTGGTGCACTTTTTCCCTAAGAAAAATCAGCACGTGCATGAAATCTTGCATGCAATTTTAAAGGGTTTACAGGCCCTCTGAGAATCCCTGTTTAGGAACCCCTGACCTGCACATACATATGGTGACGGATGGAAACTAGACTTTTGGCAGTGAATGCAATGCAGGCTATACAGAAGGCGAAATATGATGATGTACACCTGAAACTTACATAATGTTATAAACCAATATGACCTCAAAAAAGTAATTTAAAAAGTGGGCATCTGGAGAAAAAAAAAAGACCCCCTGACTATTCAGAACTATGTCTGGCACATGGTAGATGATCAGTCATTTGTCGAATGAGTGAATGAATTATCTAAGTGGAGAAAAGAACCAACATTTGTTGAGGGTCTATATAGCACCACGAACTGGACACAAATTATCTTTTAACTTTACAACAGGACCAGTGAGGCATGTACTACTAAGCAGTTTGAGGAAAGTGAGGACCAGAAAAAATAAGCAAATTGCTTAGGGTCATACAGCAGAGCCAAAATTTTAATCCACGTCTGTCTAAAGTGGTCTCTTTACAAGTCAATCCCTCAATACTTCTCTAAGTGACCGTGATTCACGCGATTCTCAGGTTTCAGAGAGGTTCTACAAAAGGGCGAAGTAAAGCCTCTCCCCTAATCTCCTCCGCGAAGAATTTAGAGAACAACTTGAAATTGTATTCTCTGCCGTTGGGATCGCCCTCCTAGTTGGGGCTCCAGAATTGCAAAAACGCAAATCCCACAATACAACAGCAAGACTTTCAACTACAATCGCGTTTGCATAGAGCTTCATGGCTTACAAAACTCGAATGTTGAGTGTAATTATCCCATTTCACGGTTTGAGAAATAGAGACGAAAGCGTGGCCTAATAAGTGGCAGGGTGGAACACTTCCCCCAAATTTCTTGTTTTTAGCGCTTCGCCAGATCGGACCAGGGAGACTCCTCCTTCCCATGGGCTTGCTCGATGACAGCGATCTGACCTGGACTCTGCCCTGGGGAGAGCAGGAGGAAGGCAGCGAAGGAGATGAAGTCCTCTCACTGCAGACCCAGGAGTGGGGCACAATCCCCGCAGCGGGAAGGCCAGGCTCCCAGGCCCCATCCCACCCCTGCTCCCTTCCTCGGATCCGCCTAGATCCTCCCCATCCGGACCCCATCCCTTCAGACGACCTGGCCAGTCCCTTCCCTTTCCCCACCACACCCAGGGAGACCCCGCGCCCTGCAGCTCACCGTCGTCAGGCACTGCTCCCTCTGCCACGCCTGTCAAAGCGCCGCAAACTTCCGCCTCCGCGGTAGAACGGGTACCTACTCCTCCCACTCTCTGCACTCCCCAACCACTTCCGCCACACCTCCACCCCACTTCCGACCCGCTGCCCGGTCCAAACATGGCCTTTCCAGGAGCTCCGCCCATTTCCTGTACGTGCCCACCGTGGGGGGGAAACGGCATAACTGTCCGACTCGTCCCTCCCAAAGGAGGTGGCTGGAACAATTAGTTCCGCTTTCCCTGCTACTCGATTCTCCGGTGGACCTCGGGAATCCTAGGCTCGTATTGTCCTCGCACAGAGTTTTGCCTCACCAGTACTCCCAAACTCCTGGTCCTGGGCACCAATGAGATCCGACTCTTACAATTCTTTCCTGAGAGGAAATTTGGAAGGCAATGACTGCTTCCGGGGGGAGCTGAGAAGGCGACGCTCACTTCCGGCGGAGGCAGGCTTTCCGACCCGGGATGGAGGAGGCCGAGGAGCAGAGCCTGGAGCCGGTGAGAGTGTGGTCGGGTGAGTGACCTGCGATGTCCGCGACCCTCTGCCCTGGCCACGATACACCTGACGATCTCCGGTCAACCCCCTGCTCCCGAGCCCGGGCTCCTCCTCCGGGGGCCTCAAAGCCTCTGGGGGCTTCTGGAGAACCCTCGTCCCCCCTCAAACCTCTCAGGGGCCTGGCTGGACCGGCGGCTTCCTGCCGCACCTTCCCCACCCGCTGTCTTCCTGTCTCCGCAGGCCCCGAGCGGCGCCGGGGCCCCGACTCAGGATGGAGCCCTTCCGGAGGAGGCCGTGCCCCCGGCCGCAGGGACTTCCCGCCCGGGCCGACCCGAGTCCTCCGCGCTCTACAGAGCCTCCCCCGGGGCTTGGCCCTCGGCCCCTCCCTCGCCGAGGACCAGCGCTTGGGGGTCTGGTGTGTCGCGGAGCCCCTGCAGCCGGGACTGCTCTGGGGGCCGCTGGAAGAGGAGTGTGACTCGGAGCAGAAGGGCGAGGCAGTGAAACCACGGCAGGAGGAGGTATGGCGGGGCAAGGCGTCTCCTCTCCGTGATGGGAAGTTTGGAAGAGCTTGACGTTTCCGGACAGCTCTCCAGCTTGCTACAAAAAAGCAGGGTATTTCCAGATGTAGGAGATGGTTTTGTCGCTTCTCTTCAGGACTCTCTTCCCTTTGCTTGCAGTCGTTAAGGAATCGAGGTGCGAAAAGTTGCTAAAAGCTGAATGAGTAGTGTCAGCAGTGATGAAGGTCAAGATCAAAGATTTATGAAACTAAACAACCATAGAAGCAAATCCCAGCCTTGTCACCTGGCTAGTTAAATGGCGTGCCTGACTTAACTCATGTAAAATTTTTAAAAATGGCTGTTTCCTTTCTTTTACTTCTCCAGAGTTATTTGGAGGAATAGATGTAAAAACGCAGGTAAAGGGTTTCATCACATAATAAATATTAAAAAAAGTTGATATTCCTCTTACTACTTTTTCTGTTTAGTACTTACTGGAAGGCAGTAATGTATTTGATGTTGTCATTCTTCACACCCTTGGGAGGGAGATGAGGGAATAGTCTTTTTGGGTTTTACTGAGTGAAAAAATTAGATGACACAGTCCTGTAGGGGCAGAACCAGAGACCATTCACCTTCCAGGGGCTTCATCTTAGAGCTGTCTCAGGAGAGGTTTCATCCAGTTTTTTTTTTTTCCCACGTTGACCCCCTGAAACACATGGGAGAAGGACTCTTACTGATTTATTTCAGGATGTGTCACTAGGCCCATGGGGAGACGCGTGTGCCTGTGAGCAGAGTTCAGGCTGGGCCAGGTAAGTTACAGGAGAGTATGTAGTGGACATGCTCCTTTGAGGTTTTCTGTTGTGGCCTGGGATGGGACGCGAAGCCCATGTCCTTCCCCACCCCCTGATCGTTTGCAGTGAGTGTTCCGAAGGCATGGGGCCCTTTTGGGGTTTTCAGGGTGGGCCGCTTGAAGAGAGTCTAGTGAGCTAGCTCTTGCTCTGCTTTGCAGTTTGGTGCAGCGGGGCAGGCTGGAGGGTGAGGGAAACGTGGCCCCGGTGTGGATCAGCGAGAGACTCCACCTGCAGGTGTCCCGGGTCGTGCTGCCAGGCTTTGAGCTGTTACTGTGGCCCCGGCCACCTGCTGAGGATCTGAGCCCTGCCCAGCCCAGGCTAGAAGCAGCAGCAGCCGTGGCTGTGGTGACAGAAGTGGAGTCTGCTGTACAGCAAGAAGTGGCCTCCCCTGGGGAGGATGCCCCAGAACCTTGCACAGGTATATGTCAAATAAATGCTCGCTTCCCAAATTACTACCAAACAACCTGTTGATAAGACAAAGCAGAGCTTATGGCTCAGGAAGGCAAGGAAGAACACTGCAGAGTCTTAGGAGCTTTTCTGAGGGCAAGGGCAAAACCTGGGTATTTATTGAAATTTTGAAGTCTAATGTAAGGGGGATCTTTCAGTATGAGATGGGGGCGGGGCTTGATTAGGATTGGGTAAGGATCGTGACAATAGGTTAGGATTCATGGACACAGCAGGGCTCAAATTTTCAGGCAAGAGGTCCAAAGAATCTTGGGGCATAAACTGTCATTTGATGCTTTCTATTGAAGAGTGATAGGTCTTTTCCTTAGAATGAACAATATAGATATTTGCAACTTTTATCATCCTAAGTAGGTTTCCTGGAGTAGTAAAGTCTTATTGATGAAGACAGCAAGCTGTATATAAGGTTTCCAGTTTCTCTTTTTATTATTATTGTTTTTTTTATTGAGGTCACATTGGTGTATAACGTTATGTAAATTTCAGGTGTACATCAGTATATTTCAACTTCTGTATAGACTATGTGGTGTTCGCCACCAAAAGTCTGGTTGCCATCTGTCACCATACAAATGTGCCCCTTTACCCCTTTCGCCTTCCCCCCATCTCCTTCCCCTCTGGTAACCACTAATCTGTTCTCCACATCTGTATGTGTGTTTGTTTATCTTCCACATATGAGTGAAATCGTACAGTATTTGGCTTTCTCCATCTGACTTATATCACTTAGCGTGATACCCTCAAGCTCCATTCATGTTGTCAAAAATGGCACGATTTCATCTTCTTTATGGCTGAATAGTATTCCATTGTATGTACAGGTATATATCTTCTTTATTCCTTCGTCTGTTGGTGGGCGCTTGAGTTGCTTCCAAGTCTTGGCTACTGTGAATAATGATGCAGTGAACATAGGGGTACATAAATCTTTTCGATTAGTGTTTTTTGGATAAATACCCAAAATTGGAATAGCTGGATCATGTGGTATTTCTATTTTAATTTTTTGAGAAATCTCCAAACTATTTTCCATAGTTACTGCATCAATTTGCATTCCCACCAGCAGTGTAGGAGGGTTCCCGTTTCTCCACACCCTTACCAACACTTGTTATTTCTTGTCTTTTTAATAGTAGCCATTCTGACGGGTGTGAGGTTTCCAATTTCTTATGTTTTTTCTATGTGGGGTGGGGATGGGGTTCCTTTACGTTACAGGTGAGCTAAGGTAAGGAGGTGGTGGTCTCCACTCATTCTAAGTGTATGTCGCTGAGAGAGAACAAGGGGACTCAGGGATGACCTTGCTCTACGGATTATCCAGATGTCCGGGGCACTGTGGCACCTAGGAGTCCTTCCCTAGGAGGCACCTGAGACCGGGCGGGAGGATAAACGGGGTGTGTGGCTCATGCTCCAGGGAAGAGATTGGTGTCCTTGCTCCTACGGAAGTTCAGGGGCTGGGTAGAAGACACATTCCTTTAACTTCCTGGTGACACCATCACCACCTGCTACAAGCCCTACTGACCCCGGCCCCCGACTCTTGCCTTGCAGATCCTGGTCACACATCGCCCCCCAGCATCCAGGCAGAGAGCATGGTAAGCTCTGGACTTAAGGCCCAAGCCCACAAACTTGCCAAGGAAAGCCAACCACTTGGCCCATTACCTCAGGATGGCAGCGTGGACGCAGAGGACCCACCCCTGACACAGATGCCATCTGAGCCTCAGAACAGCTCTGCTCCCCAAAGAGGCCCAGAGAGCAATGAGGCCAGTTCCCCGTCTTCTGCCAGGGGTGCCCAGCTGCATGCTTACCTGGTCAAGAAGTTCTGTAGTCCCAGCGATCAGTGCCCACCCAGAGCAAAGACCTCAGAGCCCAGGGTCCAGCAGGCTGGAGAGCCCCAGCACCCTGGCTTGCCTGCACTCTTGAGGGGCCCTCTTGGCCTGGCAGGAAGCTCACCAAAACAGGGGCGACGGTACCGGTGTGGGGAGTGTGGCAAGGCGTTCCTGCAGCTGTGCCACCTGAAGAAGCACGCATTCGTGCACACAGGCCACAAGCCCTTCCTCTGCACCGAGTGTGGCAAGAGCTATAGCTCAGAGGAGAGCTTCAAAGCCCACCTGTTGGGCCACCGTGGGGTGCGGCCCTTCCCCTGCCCACAGTGTGACAAAGCCTACGGCACCCGGCGAGACCTCAGAGAGCACCAGGTGGTTCATTCAGGTGCCCGGCCCTTTGCATGTGACCAGTGTGGCAAGGCCTTCGCCCGCCGGCCCTCCCTGCGGCTGCATCGCAAGACTCACCAGGTGCCAGCTGCCCATGCCCCATGCCCTTGCCCCGTGTGTGGGCGGCCCCTGGCCAACCAGGGCTCCTTGAGGAACCACATGCGGCTCCACACAGGGGAAAAGCCCTTCCTGTGTCCACACTGTGGCCGGGCATTCCGCCAGCGGGGCAGCCTGCGCGGGCACTTGCGGCTGCACACGGGAGAGCGCCCTTATCGCTGCCCGCACTGTGCCGACACCTTCCCCCAGCTGCCAGAGCTGCGGCGCCATCTCATCTCCCACACCGGGGAGGCCCACTTGTGCCCCGTGTGTGGGAAGGCCCTCCGAGACCCACACACGCTCCGTGCTCATGAGCGCCTGCACTCGGGGGACAGGCCCTTCCCGTGCCCCCAGTGTGGCCGTGCTTACACACTGGCTACCAAGCTGAGGCGCCACCTCAAGTCCCACCTGGCTGACAAGCCGTACCGCTGCCCCACCTGTGGCATGGGCTACACCTCACCCCAGAGCCTCAAGCGGCACCAGCTCAGTCACCCGCCCGGGGCGTCCTCCAGCCCAGCCTCTGTGCCTCCTGCTGCTTCTGAGCCCACCATGGTGCTGCTGCAGACAGAGCCGGAACTCCTGGAATCATGCAGTGAACGGGACATCTCCCCAGCCCCGGACGTCTTCGAGGTCACCATTTCTGAGAGCCAGGATAAGTGCTTTGTGGTGCCAGAGGAGCCAGGCCCCCCCTCCAGCTTGGTGCTCATCCATAAGGACATGGGCTTTAGCTCCTGGGCAGAGGTGGTGGAGGTGGAGACGGGCACCTGACACCTCCCCCTCCCCCAGCAGAGCTGTGTATAAAGACTGGTGTGTCCCAGCTGCTGGGTGCCTGGGTCTTTCTCTTGGGGTAGCCTGGGAGATACTAGAGTCTACTGTGAGGAGCAGGTCCAGGGGCTTCCCTTCCCGCTTGCGGACCACCGGATTGTTTCCCAAGACTGTAAGGTAGAGCCCTTCTAGACCTGAGATCTTTTTACCAACTTCCATAGAGCTTGTTCCGCCTCCTTCCCTGGGAGCTCCTCAAGGTGCTTGTTCTGTAAACATTGCCCAGTGACCCCGCCCAGGGAGGTAGTCGGGTAGCTGGCAGCACTCCTGCCCTGCCGGGGTGCTTGGTGCTGGGAGAGTCACTCCCATCGGGCTTCCTGAGGGACAAGCACTTCTATCTGGAACCCACTGAATGCCTTTGGGGGTTAAAAGGCCAGAGGCTGAACTCAGTTCACAGCTGACAAGACTCTGTAATGCTGGCTGTGGTTACTGTGGCGGCTTTTCTTACCACCTGAGGGCTGTGAAGTTGGCTTTCGTTCTGTGCCGAAGGACACCCAGCTCACTGGAGGTGGCTAGGGCCAGATCTGTACCCTTCTGTGTGCTTGGCCAGAGGCAGCCCTGTTGAGGGAAGCTGTGAGGAATTAACACGTGTTTTGCATCTGCCAAGGCCTGGATTGCCCTAGGTGCTGGGGACACAGCTGTAACAAGACAGGCAGTGCCCTTTACAGAGCTCATGATCTACCTGGGGCAGAAAGCACGCCCTGGCGCTGTGGAGTTTAATGGGACAGTTTAACTGGGTCTGGGGCATCAGGGAAGGCATCCCCAAGAAATGACAATGGTAATAAACCCTCAGCCTTTATTGTGGGCCAGCCCTTTAGGTGAGTTTATTTGTATAATCCCCATAGCAACCCTGTGAGGTAGGTAGTGTTACTATCCTTATTTTACAGATGAGGAGAGGGGAACAAGTTGCTTTAAGTATCCCGCCCCAGGTGACAGCTGAGATTCAAACCCACGTGGTCCAGCGCTGGAGTAAGGCACTTAACTTCTACACTCCACTGTCCTTTGCTTCAGCTGCAACTTGGTGGATGAGTTGGTGCCAGGGCAGGTGGGATGTAGGGAGCTGCTTGTGAAAAAGCCCTGTGGTGAGAGCCTGGTGGGGTGTGAGCAACTGAGACCAGCGTGGCTGGAGCCAAGAGGAGAGGGGAGGGGGCAGGGCCCTGTCCCAGGTCACACAGGCCGTCTTCAGGAGTTGGGACTTTACTTTCAGAACATCAAGGAGCTCTTGAAAGGGTTTTGAGCAGGGGAATGACATGATCAGGTTCATGTGTGAAGAGACCACTGGGGAATGGATTGGCGGGCGAGGCGCAGTTGAGGGGAAACCAGTGAGGAGGCTGCTGAGTGGCTGGGAGTGGAGTGGTAGCACTGGAAAGCTGGAAAGCAGAGAAATGGAATCATTGATCCAGCAAATACTGAGCGCCTCCCGCGTGCTAGTTGTTAGGGGTGTGACAGTAACAGTGTCTGCTCTCATACAGTTACATTCTAGTGTGCGCAGACAGGCAGGAAACATGTCAGATGACGGCAAATGCAGTGAAGAAAAGTAGTGCGGGGGAGAGGTTAACTGGGGAGTGTGATTTTACAGAGGGTGGTCGCGAGCAGAGACCTGACCTGCAGGGAGAGTGAGCCAGGTTGGAGTCTGTGGAAGGAGAGGGGTTCCCAGCAGAGGGAACAGGAGCGGCAAAGCCCAGCGAGTTCACGGAAGAACAAGGAGCAGAGTGGCCAAGGCCATGCACGGAAGGCGGTGAGGGCGGAGCAGGGCTGTGGGCCGTGGTGAGGACTTGGGTGGATGCGTTCTCTGGGAGGTGTAACTGGCAGAATTCAGGGCCTGAGTGAATGAGGGAGAGACATCCGACTCTTGCCTTCAGACTTAGCGAGTTAGGGAGCATTGGGGTGGGGGCGGGACAGTTACGATTTTGGGTGGGGATGGGTTGAGTTTGAAGTGCCTGTGGGAGAGGTCTCAAGAAAGCAGTCAGAAATAGACACAACCTGGGGAGAAAAGCCTGGTGTGGGGGAAGAGTCACGGGAGAGGCTTGCAACTAGGTGCTCACTGAAGCTGTGGGAGTAGGGAGATGAGCAGAGGGGAGCAGGCCAGGAACGACGAGGCCCTGCGGGTTCACTGAGAGGAGGAAGGCTCCTTGGGCGTCTAAATGAACACCCGGCAAAGTAGAACAACCTGCGGTGTGTGTCACAAAAGCCGACGGCAGAGCATTTCGACAAGAAGTGGCAACAATGCCCATTGCTACCCAGTGGGTTGATGTTTGTGGAAGTCACTGGCGAGTTGAACAAGAGCAGCTGGAAGCCAGACTGGATTGCTTTGAGGAGAGGGAGGCAGAAGAGACAGGAAGAACATTCATTCTTGTTCCGTCCTTCTGTCCTGTAAAATAGGCGTGATTCCTGCCTCACACGTGAGGAAACTAAGGCTCAGAGCGGGTAACTGGCCGAGACCACACAACTGGTGAACGGCAGAGCCAGGATTGAAACATGGTGTGTTTTCTGGCTTCCCAGCACTGGATCACAGTGTCATAAGCGGCCCCATGTCTCCCACTTTGCCACTGACGTTAACCCAGCCGCCCACCCAATTTGAATAACTTCTTGGCAAATTCTGGAATTGTCGGAGTGGAGGGAGGACAGCAGAAAAACTTGGCGATCTGTGGAGAGAAAGGCCACACCATCCAAAACCTGAAATACAGCTGTTAATACTGGTTTTCCATCAATCTGTTTCTTGGAGCCTGCACGAAGCTCAGTAGGTCCTGTTCCCCAGCTGCATCATGCAGGGTCATTTCAACTGAGGTGACTGCCCAGCAGTGTCTGCACAGCGTCATTAGGTATCCTGGGGACATAATCTGCTTGAGATCAAACTGCAGGGAAGTGGGAAGCTTTGGGATGCTCACACCCCCTTACCACATCCCCCACACAGATGGAGAACTTTCCTCCGATTAAGGCTGTCTCTGGGGGCTGGCCCTGTGGCCCTGGCCGAGTGGTTAAGTTCACACACTCCTTCAGTGGCCCGGGGTTTCGCTGGTTCAGATCCTGGCCACAGACCCAGCACCACTCATCAGGCCATGCTGAGACGGCATACCACATAGCACAACCAGAAGAACCTACAACTAGGATATACATCTATGTACTGGGGGGCTTTGGGGAGAAAAAGAAGAAGAAAAAGATTGGCAACAGATGTTAGCTCAGGTGCTAATCTGGTGATGCAGAACGGGGTCAGATCAAAGCCAACAAGTTCACAGTCACCTGGCTGGGAGCCTCTGCTCCTCCAGCACTCATGGCTAAAGTGAGGATGGGTATCGGTGGGGACTATCCAAGCTCTTGTTACAGATGAGAAAACGGAGGCCTGGAGAAAAGTCACTCGCCAGGCATGAGACCAGGTCTTCCGACTCTTACTTTAGTGCTCTTCTGATTACAATAAAATGCAATGACTCTTCTTGGAAAGATTGGGCACTGGAATATGTTTTTCACTGAGAAAATATTTTCCCCCAGTTTGAAAATCTTGTTCATCATAGTGTTAGAAGTCTCTTTATTCCCATCCATTCCTCCATCCCTTGAGAAAGTCACTTTGACAGTTTGGTGTACAGAGTACTGAATCTGAGTGCTCCTGCTTGCCATAGGGCGCGGGTGCCGTGAAAACGTCACGAGACACATTTCCACCCCTGTGAGTTTAACCTCGTGGCATCGACAGTTGCTGACCCCATCTCTACGTTCAGGTGTGGGTCATGGCTCTGCCCTTGGCCAGCTGCATAAACTCAGGCAAGTGATGTAGCTTCTCAGTGCCACAGTTCCTTTATCCATAAAATGGGAATAAATATGTACCTGTCTCATCAGCGCTATGTACCTGGCATGTCGTGAGCAATTAATAAATTGCAGGTGGTGGTTAGTAGTATTGCAAACCACCCAAGATCCAGGTACTTACGTGTTTCCCATGGGTATTGCTTGTTCGGGGCAGGCCCGCACTTGCACAGTGGCTTGGACTTGGGTGCACGTCCTGTGGGTGTACTTGATAGTACAGCGAGGCTGTACTCTACCAGACTGTCGGGGGACAGGGTCGTGTGGGGAGAAGAGCGCTGGCCCGAGGGAGGAATCTGGGTCCTGGTCCTGGCTTCACCACCCATTCTCTGTACGACGTTGCTCAATTGGCTTTCCCTCTCGGAGCGCTCCGTTTCCTCATAGCGACTTGGGGAAACTGGGCCAGAGCACTGGTTCCCTATTGCAGCTCCACCGTGGAGCCCTTTGGCTAACATATTTTCTTCTATGGATCTCATATTTTAAAAGATTTCTATTAAGTAGAAAAATTATATTTTTTAATCAAAATAGGAAACTGATCAGATTGAGAAAAACATAAGGTAATTAACCATCTAAAGAGACACAATGTCAGTCAAAAGAGAAAAACTATCTTTGTCTTGCAGTAAATTGACAATTTTTGAGTTTTTTTTTAATATGCAAAATGATAAGACTACCCCATAGTACATGCACAGAGCTCCAGGCTTTGAATGGATGGATTTCATAATATTTGATCTTCCTTCCAGCTCTGAAATTCTCTACGTCTTAGAACGTAATTTTACTGTTTTCAGTGATTACAGAGCTTCACTTTACAGCATAACGTTGGTCTCAGCCTTGATTTTGTTTGATGACAACTTGTTGGGCAGGAATGCAACCCTCCACAGGGCCTTGTTCTTACAGGGAAATAGGATCTGCTGTAAGTGTGCAGGTGTGTGTTTGTGGTGAAAAGCAGGAACGACATGCTCGGTTGTGGTACCCACTGGGCCCAGAGTCCCAAGGAGAACGGTTCCTGGAGGCTGGGCTTCCTGAGTGGACCCTGAAGACTAAGGATGTGCTGGGTCCGTTGGAGCTCTGCTCCTGTGCTGGTGGCACGCTGGTCTGGCAGTACTCTCGGATCCTTCCAGAGCCACTCACAGAGAGGATGCTCTCGCTAGATCTCTGCAAAGTAGAGAGGGTAGGTGTGGTCTTCTGTTCACCCAAGAAAACGTGGAGGTTATCTAACGAGAATCCGCTTAATATGAGCCTCCGTTTATTAAGGAATTAAGTTTACTCTTCATTGTGAAACTTTTCAAACACAAAAAATTAAAAAGATAATATATAACAATCCCCTAACCACCTAGATTTAATGATTAATGTTTTGCCATGCTTGTTTCATCTGTTTGTTGTAAATTCTTCAGTATAATCTGAAACTCGTAAGGATTTAAAAAATATAGCTAGAGGGGCCGGCCCAGTGGCGCAGTGGCTAAGGGCACACATTCCACTTCTGCGGCCGGGGGTTCGCTGGTTCAGATCCCGGGTGTGGACATGGTACCACTTGTCAAGCCATGCTGTGGTAGGCGTCCCACATATAAAGTGGAGGAAGGTGGGCACGGATGTTAGCTCAGCGCCAGGCTTCTTCAGCAAAAAGAGGAGGATTGGCGGCAGATGTTAGCTCAGGGCTAATCTTTCTCTAAATGGATAAATTAAATAAATGAAAAATATAACTGGAGCCGGCCCCGTGGCTGAGTGGTTGTTTGTGTGCTCCGCTTTGCCGGCCTGGGGTTCCCCAGTTTGGATCTTGGGCCCGGACTTATACACCACTCATCAAGCCATGCTGTGGCAGCGTCCCACATAGAAGAACTAGAATGACCTACAACTAGGATACAGAACTATGTACTGGGGCTTTGGGGAGAAAAAAAAAGAGGTTGGCAACAGATGTTAGCTCGGGGCCAATCTTCCTCACCAAAAAGAGTTTCTCTAAAAAAATAAAAAATAATAAAAAAAGAAATATAACCATGTGTACATATAATACCAAATTAACAATGATTCTTTTGTATCATTGAGAACCTAATCTATATTTAAATTTTCTTGTTTGTCCAAAAGAAAGAGTCCTTTTACAATTGATTTGTTCAAAAGTCTAAACCAATCATGGTAACTCTATTTCCCTGGTGCGTTTGGTTGTTCGATCTCTCCCAGGTTTCTGTTCTTCTGAACCGTCTCTCTCACCCACCCCTTTTATTTCCATGTCATGAATTTGTCAGAGAAACGGAGACATTTGTCTAGTCCAAAGCCCCTCATTCCTTGTGGTGTCTAATTTATTGCTTTATCATCTGTATTTTCTGCAAACTAGTAATTAAAGTCAGACGTTGATTTGATCCAGATTCATTATTTTAGGAAAAACCCTTCGTAGGCTGCATTGTGTGTTTCCTGTTGCAAAATATGTAACTGCTGTTTACTGGGTGCTTTCTATGTGACAGGAATTGTGATACTTTACAAACATTATAATATCTTTGGAGGATAGTTTTATTTTTATTTCATGACAATAAACAACTCCAAATCCAGCTAGACCTGGAGGGAGACAGAGAGATATATGGAATACGAAGCATCGCAGCAAGTGAGAACACAAAGGTTACAGGACGTGAGAGCTGGGGGCGCTCTTCTCAGGGACAAAAGGAATGGTTGGGCATAAGGTAAAATGCAAAATCAAGTTCATCCAAATGGCCTGGAGTCTTCTGGCTGGTCCTGCCGTTCCTGGACCCACAGTGCCCCATGGCTTCCACAATATTCATGCCATCTCTCTGCTTGCCGGAGAGCCCAGGCTTGCCATCCAACCCATCAGTCTTTGTGCAGATGACAAACTGGGAGCCATTTGAGTTGGCTTCAGCATTTGCCATGGACAGGATGTCAGGACGCCTATTCTTAAAATGAATTTCTCATCAGCAAAGTTCTGCCCCTGGATAAGACCTGCCGCCGGTACTATGATGATGCGTCAATTCATCACCCTGACACATAAATCCGGGAGTCGGTCTGGGAAAGCAGGAACCCTGATAACCAAATCTCATCTTCCAAGCGCTCAGCCAGCTGCAGCTTTCTGCTTTGGAACGTGGTCTGCAAACAGCTGAGGAAGACGTAGCCCAGGACTCGCCCGTGAACGGCCCTGTGTGCGTGTGAGCGGGCCAAGACTCGGCAAAGCTGCAGCTCCAAGTGAAAGAGTGCGAGGAGGCCAGTGTGATCTTAGTGAAGTCAACAACAGCCTTGTGAGGTGAATATTGTTGAACCTAGGACTGGCCTCCCGAGCGTGCTGTGATGCTTGTCTGTCAGGATTGGGGTTTCTGACGGCCGGGGAACAAGGCAGCAGTCAGCAGGCCCCTGTTCCTCAGTAGAAGAGGTGCTGTGTGTTAGGTGATTTCTTCTCCCGCCAACACCCCCGCTTCTCGCCTCTTCTCCGTCTCCAGGCTGAGTCAGCTCTGGCCCAAGCTGGTCCTCAGGCAAGGGAGGACCACCTGCCTGGAGGCAGGAAGGATAAAGCCACACCTCTCTCCTCTCCTCTTCTCAGGAGCCCTCCCTTCCCTTACTCAATATGTCATTTTTTAAGAAATTAGTGAAGTGAGATGTTTTTAGCATTCCACTCCCTCCCACCCCCCAAAAAACAGCAGGCTCAATGTCATTAGTCAACAGGAAATACAAAGTAAAACCACAGTGAGACGCACCTACACGTCTGTCCAAATGGTTAATGTGAAATGGATGGACAATGTAGAGGGTTGTTGGGGACATGAGCCGCTGGGACTCTCAAACCTTGCTGGCGGGAGTGGGAGCTGGTACAGCCACTCGGGACAACTATTTGTCAGAGCGACTTAAGCAAAACATGCCTGCCCTGTGACCCTGCAAAGCCACCCCTGGGCATATGCCCAACAGCAATAAGTGCTTGTCTACACCAAGAGACTTGTGCACAAGTATTCATGGCAACGTTGCTCATTACAGCCCAAACTGGAAATGAATCCGAATGCCCATCAACAGATGAATGGACAAATAAAATGTGCTCTATTCATGCAGTGAGACACTACGCAGCTTTGAAAGGAACGAGTGCTGGTGCACACCACGTGCATGAATCTCAGGGACATGCTGAGCAAGGGAAGCCAGACACGAACATGCGAACGCTGTAGGTTTCCATTCATGTGAACTTCAAAAACAGGCAAAACTGATCTACAGTGATTATGTGGTGGTCATCTAAGGGGTGACACGAAGGAGCCTGTCGGGGCTGGAAATGTTCCCTCTCATGATCGGGTGGTGTTAGATGGGTGTATGCCTAAAAATCTGAGTTAAACACTTAGGATTTGTTTTAACCTTATTTTATATAAGTTAAACCTCAATTAAAAAATATATAGGGAAATAGGAATATATATACATAATATAAATATATACAAATATAAGAACGGGGCCACCCGGGAATTAAGCTGATTCTTGAGAGTCCTGGTCCCCGGTGCTCTGCCAGCCTTCTCTCTTCCCTGCTCAGCATCGGCCCCTCCCTGTGACCTTCCCAGATTGTACACAACTACAGTCCAGATGCCAAATGGCCAGGACTGAGGGAGGGCAAGGCAAGAACCTGTGCTGCCTGTGTTCCTGCTCTTTGTCCCTCTGTCCTAATTAGACCCAGGACTAATATTTACCTTGTGTACCGCAAACAGGAAATGGAGGACGGACGGAGCAGCGCTGGGCGAGGGGCAGTGTAGGACAGCAGCCACTCGAGGCCTGGCCAGGGGCAGACAGGCGGGGGCGGAGGGGGGGGCGGGGCGTGGGTGAGGCCCTGCCGCAGAGACCCGAGGATTTGGACTGCCCCTGTTCCGGGGTAAGAGAGGGCAGACCCAAGGCCCAAGGGGTTCTGGGCCTGGCTCCTCCTCCCAGGCACATGACACGCAACACAAGCACACCTCCACAGCTTCCCAGAGGGGAAAGGGGAAGTGGGACCCTCCATCCGTGGCTGAGAGGCTGGGGCAGATGTTGGCCGTCCCTGCCCCCAGTGTGTCCTGGGTCAGGGCGGGCCACTCTCATCTGGCCGCACCCTCATCTCTATTTTCTTCTGTGTGTTGTGATTCCACAAACCTCCCCATGGGTTTACATCCGTCTGTCTACTGACTATTAAGCACTCGTAGTATTTCATGGGCTTTACATTCCTAATCTCCCTTAGTCCTCACGCCAAGTGCTATTCCGATTGTACAGATGGGGAAACTGAGGCACACAGAGATTAAAGCAGCCATCTTCATATGGTGGGATTGGCAGGGGCCTCAGGAAGAGCCTGTGACCACACAGGCCCAAGTTGACCCATGTCTCAGGGCAGGAGGGGCTGGACGATGGTAGTTACACTGGTTTTCCTTTGTGACTTCCTCCCAGACCATCCATCCCTTGTCCCAGGAGGACCTGGCCTCCCTGGACGTGGAGGTGGACTGTCTATCCACTTGTCCCCACGGCCCTGACCCGCTGACCTCTGCCTCTAGGCTGATTTCTTCATGTTAGTTCAACATTAACCTGGAGGGGTCAGGACGAACCCTCAGAGTCCCAGCAGCCGACACACTATGGCGCACGTCCGCGGCCTGTGGCTACCTGGCTGCCTGGCCCTGGCTACCCTGTTTGGCCTTGTGCACAGCCAGCATGGTAAGGGGGCTTGGAACCTGGGACAGACGGACAGACAGGGATATGGGCCCATGGAAATGGCCCCCCAGATGGGTCTCAGCCCATGGGATCCAGCTTAGGGAAGGAGGCGGGCGCTCAGGCCTGGACGGACAGTGGCTGCTTTTCTCTTACAATACGGGGAGCGGGCTGGGGGTGACCAGTGAAAGGAGGGGAGCTGGTGGGCTACCATTAGCAGCCTCTTGGGTCCTGCCGCCATCCTAGACATCCCCTTTCGGAAGCCAGCAGGGCAGGCCAGGTTTGCTTCTTGCCCCGACGGTGGCCAAGACAGCCTGACTCCCTGAGGCCGCTGTCCCGTGCCTCTCCTACTGCAGTGTTCCTGGCCCCTCCGCACGCATTGTCGCTGCTCCAGCGGGTCCGCCGCGCCAACAGCGGCTTCCTGGAGGAGCTGCGCGAGGGCGACCTGGAGCGGGAGTGCGTGGAGGAGCAGTGCAGCCACGAGGAGGCCTTCGAGGCCCTGGAGTCTTCCAGCGCCACGGTGAGCGCCGGGCTGCCCTGAGGGAGGCCAGGGGTCCCTCTCAGGGGGCCTGACTCTAGGGCCACAAATGAGAGGAATGAACAGTGCAGTCCTTAACTCTTGATGACTTTATTTCATCTCTGGGCCCCATTTCACCAGGCTGCCAAGAGAAGCAACCTCAACCTTTCTTGGGGGTCCTGATGCCTGGGCTGTGTCAAGGTCTTGGGGACCCATGAGGCTCCAGGACATCAGGGAGCCTCCTCAGTCCTCAGACATCTATCTACACTGGGATCTCTGGAGCCCCTGGCCCTGTCCTACATGGCCTCTTGGCTTCAGCTTTTCGGATACTTCTGTGCCACCCTTAGGGGTGGGACTTTGGCCAGGCCGGGAGCCCTGGGTGGAGGGCTCAGTGTTCCGGGAGCCCCATGCTGCCTTTCCCTTCCTTGAGGCTCTACCTGGGCCCCCCACCGGGGCCCCATGCTCCCCTCTCCTCCAGGCTTCCGCAGCCAGGGGACTCCCTTTCAGTCTTGGTTGTGGGCTGGGGAGTCCCCCTCTCCTCGAATACTCTTCTCAGCGGCCGTGGGCTTTTGGAAACAAACGTAGGAAACTCTGCCACAAACCTCCCCAAAGTCTGCCCCCTGCATGCCCAGGGGAAGGGAAAGAGGAAAGTATAAGGAGAAGACTTATTTGTTTTGTTACTAAAAACCAAACGAAACAGGATCCTGCCACAGGCTCATGCCAGCCCTTGTTTTTCAGGAAGCGTTCTGGGCGAAGTACACAGGTGAGCCCTGGGGAGGGAGTCCTGGGGACCCCAGTTAGAGAACGTGCTACCCCAGAGAATCTTCTGGTCTGTTCAGTCACCCACCTATCCACCCAAACTCTTTCCTTCTTTCCAGTCATCTACCCAGCCACCCACCCTCTTTCCCTCTTTCCTTCCGTCTATCTGTGTGTCCATCTCCGTTTCTGAGTGTCGTCCTGTGTACCTTTTACTCAAACCCATCCTGTCCCTACCCCAATCCAAAAGGTGTTTCTGGGTCTTTTCCAGCTTGTGAGTCGGTGAGGAAACCTCGAGAAAAGCTCGTTGAATGTCTGGAAGGTGAGGAACTAACATGAGGGTGGAGGGCAGGATATGAGGGGCAGCCTGGAGACGAGCAGAGTAGGGCAGATATGAGGGGGCAGCCTGGAGACGAGCAGAGTAGGGCGGATATGGGGGGCAGCCTGGAGACGAGCAGAGTAGGGTGGGTATGAGGGGGCAGCCTGGAGACGAGCAGAGTAGCGTGGGTAAGGGCTTGTGGCCCAGCCGTGGGGGTCTCTAGCGTCTGACGTTGCCTTTCCGTTCCTGCCGTCAAGGACATATGTTGAACACTTGGCTCTGTGCCTGGCCGTAACTGAGATGATTAATGTTGGATGAACAAATGAATGGATAATGAATTAACATTCTCATTCGAGCCCCTGCCCTCGCCAGTCAGTCTTCCCCATGTCCCCAGGGCAGAGCTCCAATGATGTCATATTCATTCTCCAAAACCTTGAGTGGCTCCCCAGTGTTCCAGAACAACACATGGGCTGCTTGGGCTGGTGAACTTGTAGGCTCTGGCCTTAACCTTCCCTTCTAGCTTGTCTCCCATGGCACCAACCAGGAACCCAGAGCCCCAGCTACTCTGGCAGTGAGCGCTTCTCTAAACGCGCCAAGAAGTTTCTACTTCCTGGCCCTTGCTCACTCTGTCATCCTCCCCTGGAGCAACCGTCACCATTTACTGAAAAGCTCTCTATCCATAAGAACTGGTTCAAATGCCACCACTTGCTGAGGCTTCCTGGAGCCTCCTCGCTCCTCCATGGCATCCCGAACACACCCTCAGGATGACAACAGGCCCTCCTACGTGGAACTTGTCAATCGCTGGCCACAATTTCACTTGTTAAATAACTTATTCAACAAACATTTCACTAAGTCCCTGCTATGTGCCAGGCACTATGTCAAGTGCTGGGATTTTAAGAGAATCAAGGAGCTCACAATCTCATAGGAAAACGAAAATGCAAAACCTCAGAGTAATCGCCGGCAATGGTCTGTTCCAGGAGAAGGGGCATTTATATTGCTGGCAGAACCAGGGACAGCTCCCTGGAAGAAGCTGAGTTTTCCCTGGATTTGTGGGATGCACTGATGAACAAACAGGAGAGCATTCCAAGCGAAGGAAACAACATATGCAAAGGCCCTGAGGCATGAGGAGCTAAGATAACAGGACAGGTAGACCAGGGCCAAATTAGAAGGACCTCGGTCACCTTCTCATCTTGCTGGCCATGAGGAGCCACTGACTATAAGCTCCATGAGGGCAGGGACCTATCCTGACTATGACTATCTTATTCATTGCTATGTCCTTAGTAGCTGGCACAGTGCTTGTCACATGGTAGTCACATGGTGAGTGCTCAGTGAATATTTGGTGATTACTGTTAAATGGAGTGGAGAACTGCAGGGTGCAGAGGAGGTGCTGAGTACGTGCAGGTTAAGGGTCATGGACCAGAGGAAGCTTGGAGGGGGTGCACAGACAGAGCTTTGCTAGGAGAGAGGGACAAATCCTAGGGGGATGTGTTAGAGGGGACAAATTCGTGGGGTAAGAGACCTGGGCTGGGGTCTCTGCAGGTAACTGCGCCGAAGGTCTGGGTATGAACTACCGAGGGCACGTGAACTTTACCCGGTCAGGCATCGAGTGCCAGCTGTGGAGGAGTCGTTACCCACACAAGCCCGAGTGAGTGATGGGCAGGCCTGTCTGCCAGCAGGCTGAGAACGGGGGCAAGAAGACATGAGGGTGGGCGAGGCATGGCCTCCTGCTGAGAAATTTCCTATTCCAGAATCAACTGCACCACCCACCCTGGGGCCGACCTGCAGGAGAATTTCTGCCGCAACCCGGATGGCAGCTCTTCCGGGCCCTGGTGCTACACCACGGACCCCACCGTGCGGAGGGAGGAGTGCAGCATCCCCGTGTGTGGTGAGCTGGGGGTGACTAGGCAGACCATGGCCAAGGTCCAGGGGTCTTCATGGGGCCTGGCAGCCTGGGATGGGAACCCAGATCCTGCTCCCTTCAAGCAGGGGTTAGTCATCTCCAACGTAGTTGGGCCTGTCAGCCAGTAAAGTCAGGAGACCAGAGAGAGTTGGCTTCCAGCCTCCTGCTCTCCCTCCCCAGTCTTCGCTCCCTTATGACCCAAGCTGTGGCTCGTTCCTTGCTGCCTGAGACGCTCTTCCTCCAGGAAGCCCTCCCTAAGCAGTTCAGTCCACAGGCCCTTTTCTGGGCATCACAGAGCAGGCCTCAGACAGTCCATCCCTGAATGATCCGGTCGTCGTTATTTCCCGTGATGTGTCAGTTAGCTGTAGCCACAATAATGCTGCAAACCCCACAAAATCTCAAACAGCCACAAAAGCTCAGGGGCATACACCCATCAGCATTTGGTCCTTACGTGTCTGAGGGGCGGCTGGGGCGGCTCTGCTGATCTCACGCGTCTGTGGGCTCTGCCGATGGCAGCTGTGCCTCTGCTTCAAACGAGGAGTCCAGCTGAGCTTGGCTCCCTGTGGAGTCTGCTCCACACTGTTCTCATGCTGAGGCTGAGGCTGAAAGGCACCGGCTTCCCATGGTGGCGGCAGACGTATGAAACAGTGAGCAGAAACACACCACGTGTCTTAAGGCCAAGGCTCAGAACTGACACTCAGTCCTGCCCACGTTCCATTGGCCAGAGCGAGCCACGTAGTCAAGGCCAAAGTCAAGAGGTGGAGAAGTACACCTTTGCCTGTGAAATCACAAGGCAAAGGATGAGGATGCAGGCAGGGGAAAGAATTAGTGCCAGGAATCAATCTACCAAACATGGGCTGGATTCTTCTTCATGCATCTGCACTGGACTCAGTGTTTGATCCAGGGACTGGTCTCAGAGCACGTTATCGATCCTGGTAACAAAAGCAGCTTTATTTACCAAGCCCGCCCTGTACACGTGTGCACATGCACACAGGCCGATGATAAATATGTAGCAGCATGCTGAAATTGATCGACTGCCCGCGTGGTTGTGCTCAGTCTTCTCAGCTATTTTTTCTGCTGTGCCCCTATGAAAACAGAATCCTTTCAAAACTCCAGGCAGGAGGCTGGCCTAGCAGCACGTAGTGATTAAGTTTGCGCACTCCACTTTGGTGGCCCAGGCTTTGCCAGTTTGGATCTCTGGCGTGGACCTAGCACCACTTATCAAGCCATGCTGTGGTGGCATCCCATACACAAAAGAGAGGAAGATTGGCAGGGATGTTAGCTCAGGGCCACTCTTCCTCACCAAAAAACAAAACAAAACAAACTCCAGGCAGTTGCTACCAATAGATTAGAGATAGCCCAGGAGGTGAAACCTGGTTACTATCTCTGGCTTATGATGCACCTGACAGTTACGGCATATGTTTTGCTTAAATCTCTCGACAACCCTGCAAGCACAGCACTAGGAACCCCCTTGATAGGCAACCAAACTGAAGCTCAGAGAGGGTAAGCTGCCTGGGGTCACATAGGAAGAAGGCGGCAAGGTGGGAATTCAAATCCTGTGCGTCTGGCTCCCCATGTGGTCCCACCCTCTGCTCCTCTGCCTCCTCTCCTGCCAGGTGGGCACGGCGTCACTGCGCAGCTGACCCCATACTCCAGCTCCACGAAGAATCTGTCACCTTCCTTGGAGTCATGTGTCCCTGATCGTGGCCAGCAGTACCAAGGTCGCCTAGCAGTGACCACACATGGGTCCCCCTGCCTGGTCTGGGCCAGCAGTGATGCCGAGGCCCTGAGCAAGGACCAGGACTTCAACCGGGAGGTGAAGCTGGTGGAGAACTTCTGCCGCAACCCAGACGGGGACGAGGAGGGCGTGTGGTGTTACGTGGCAGGGAAGCCTGGTTTCTTCGAGTACTGCGACCTCAACTACTGCGGTGAGAGGGCAGGGTGGGAGGGGGCTGAGACAGAGGACACAGCCGAGGGGGAGCGAGGAGGACAGTGCCTTCCTGATGGAAGGCTTCCACACGTGCTGTGCGTGTGTTCGTGACAGCCTCACATCAGCCATGTGGGGCAGTCCTAGCCCCATTTTACAGCTGAGTAAACTGAGGCCCAGGAGGTTAAGTTCCCTAGTAACCCAGGTGCACTTGGGATCTTAGCCTCTACAACTCATGGCTTCCAAGGTGGCTGGGGGCTTGGGGAGCTCTCGGGGGTGGGTGAGGAATGGCCCAGCCCAGCCCCAGCCAGTGCCTGGGTCCCTGCAGAGGATCCACTGGATGAGGAGGCGGAAGACCAGTTCGGCGAGGACCCGGACGCGCCCATCGAGGGACGCACCACTGACGAGGACTTCCCGCTCTTCTTTGATGTGAAGACCTTCGGCTCTGGGGAGGCAGGTGAGGCAGCATTGGGGGGCGGGGGGCCTCCGGGCAGGGCTCTGCGCTTGGCTCCTCACGTCCGGCTTGCTCTGCAGACTGTGGGCTGCGGCCTCTGTTCGAGAAGAAGTCTGTAGAGGACAAAACGGAAAAGGAGCTTTTGGATTCCTACATTGACGGGCGCATCGTGGAGGGCTGGGACGCCGAGCTGGGCCTCGCACCCTGGTGGGTCCCCACTTGGCGCTACCTTCACTGGCTGGCGGGGCATGCAGTCCGCTCCCACCCTGGTCCCTGGCCCCGGAGACTTCTCTGCCTTCGCAGGCCTGGGCACAGCGAGGATAGTGGAGCGCCAACATCTCACTGAATCCTCACAGCATCTTTCGAGATTGGGTTTATTACTTCTCATATGCAGATGGCGAAGCTGAGGCTCAGAGAGGTTAAGTGACTTGCCAAAGTGATGGTTTGCACAGCCGGACTTGAATCCAGTTCTCACCCCAGAGCTGTGCAAAGCTGTGCAAACTCTGGACTGGAAGAAGCTGGGAAAGGGTGCAAAAAGCATGAGGCAGCCCCTCGGTATCACATATGTCTCAGTCCCCAAGGGAGGCCAGGTTGAGCTGGGGTCTGGGCGCAGCTGGCAGCTCTGTCCAGTTACTTCTTAAGCCTGGGACCTTCTACTTTAGGGCCGGTGGAAGGGCAGCCCCCCAGCTCCTAATGCTTCCCACCCCCCCTCCCAGGCAGGTAATGATTTTCCGGAAGAGTCCTCAGGAGCTGCTGTGTGGGGCCAGCCTCATCAGTGACCGCTGGGTGCTCACAGCTGCCCACTGTCTCCTGTACCCGCCTTGGGACAAGAACTTCACTGAGAATGACCTTCTGGTGCGCATTGGCAAGCACTCCCGCACCAGGTACAGAACTGGAGGCCCGTGGGTGTCTGGCAGGGGTCTGAGTCCTCCAGAGTGACTGTGAGGGCTCTGGTGACTCTGGGGCACGTGGGAGATGGCTGCAGAAAACCCAGCAGTCTGCTGCAAAGTCCATTTGGCCGCGTGCTCATCACAGCTCGGAAGTGGGGACAGAGAAACTAAGACTTTGCAGACAGCAAAACCCTGGCCTGCCCTCGAGGCTCCAGGACATGACCCAGGTGTGACTCTGAGTGGAGGCCACCGCCTGCGTCCCCCCACCTGCCTGGGCTGTTTGATTCCGAAGCCCGTGCAACTTCAGGCCGGGGGGAAGCTGCCAGGGGGCGGCAAGGCAGGAGCCAGCCCTCTCCCCTCGCTGCTCAGCCTGACTCCAGACCCTGAGGGCCCGCAGTTTCCTTGCTCAGGACACTGGCTGTCCCTCACTGGGTGGCCTCCCGCTCTCCGTCTCTGTTGGCCTCTGCGCAGGTACGAGCGAGGTGTTGAAAAGATCTCCATGCTGGAAAAGATCTATATCCACCCCAAGTACAACTGGAGGGACAACCTGGACCGGGACATCGCCCTCCTGAAGCTCAGGAGGCCCATTGCGTTCAGCGACCACGTCCACCCCGTGTGCCTCCCCGACAAGGAGACCACAACCAGGTGGGGTGGCCGGGGGCCTGGGCTGCCTTCCGGGCCTCGGCGTCTTGGAGTAACCCCACAAGTTCCCGCTCTCTGCTGTTCTCAATTCAGGGCGCAGAGGGACGGGGTCGGGGCTCGGAGGCTCCTGGAGGAGTCGGTTCTCACTGAGTCCTTCTCCCTCCCCCAAAGATTGTTCCACGCTGGATACAAAGGGCGGGTGACGGGCTGGGGCAACCTGAAGGAGACGTGGACGGGCCACATCGGAGAGGTGCAGCCCAGCGTCCTGCAGGTCGTGAACCTGCCCATCGTGGAGCACTCAGTCTGCAAGGCCTCCACCCGCATCCGCATCACCGACAACATGTTCTGTGCTGGCAAGTCCCCCGGGCGCGGCTCGGCCGAGGGAGCAGCCGGGCTTGGGGGGCAGGGGGCGGGGCGCGGAGACACGTAGAGGGCACAGGCCTGTTCAGGGCCCGGCTCCAGTCACGCATGAGCCATATAGTTTGGGCAAAGTTGCTAACCCTCTTGGAGGCTCCGTTTCTTCGTCTGTAAAATGGAGATAGAACCTCCATCCCATAAGGTTGTGTGAGGGTTAAAAGGTAGCGTACAGAAAGTGTCAGGCTCTCTGTGACTGGTGGTGGTCCCAGCGGAAGTTGTCAGTGTACGTGAGCCCAGAGAGCAGCAAGAAGGCCTGGCTGGAGGAAAAGCCGCTCATCATTCAGTCATTCAGCAAACATTTACTGAATGCCCACTAGGATCCAGGCGGTATTCTAGGGTATGCAACAAGGACCCAGATAGACAATGCCTGTGTCCTCGGAGAGCTGCTTTTCTAGAAGGAGGGAGGGTCAATAAACAGATGTAGAATAGCCATCGCTGCTAGGGAGGAAAAGGAAGCAGAGTGGGGGAGGGAGAGATGGGGCCAGGGTTGATCTTCTAAATAGAGTGGTTGGAAAAGCCCTCTCTGAGAAGGTGGTGTTTGAGCAGAGACTCAAAGAAGTGAAGGAGTGAGCCACTCCAGGCTGAGGGGACAGCAGGCGCAAAGGCCCTGAGGTGGGAGACTGCTGGGAGTGTCTGAGGACGAGCAGGGAGGCCTGTGTGGCTGGAGGGCAGTAAACACAGGACCCGCAGCAGTAGGCAGGGGGAGAGACGTGGGCAGCAGAGGACGGGCACTTCCCCGAGGCCTTGAGGACTTTGGCGTGTGTGGAGTGACAGGGGACGTTATTGGCGGGTCTGAGGTGGGTAAATAAATGGCCTAACAGTTAATTTTAAAAAATTTTAGTATAATTTTAGACTCACAGAAAAGTTGCAAAAATAACACAAAGAATTCCTGTACATCCTCATCCAGAGTCTGCTCCCCCGCTTTGTGTGTGTGTGTGTGTGTGTTCCTCTCTACACACACTGTTTGAGAGTGTATTGTACACATGGTGCCTTTTACCCATGTACTTGAGTATTTTCAAAAAACTAAGAATGTTCTCTTACATAACCACTGTGCAATTATTAAATCAAGAAATTAATAATGATGTAGTACCGTTATCTAATTTGTAGAGCTTATTCAAATGTTTTCCGATTGTCCTACTTACTGATGTCTTTTATAGCAGAAGAGAAAAAGTTTTTCTCATCCAGGATTCAATCCAGGATCAGCCATTATGCTTAGTTGTCAATCTTTCTGTGCCTTTCATGACCTTGACATAGTTGATGAGTACAGGCCAGTGATTCTGTGGATCGGCCGTCACTTTGGGTTTGTCTAATGGTCACATTTGGGCTAAGGGCTGTGTCCTCAGGGCCATTAGCAGGCACGTGATGTCGATTTGTCCCATAACTGCTGAGATTAACTCTGACCCCCTGGTGAAGGTGGCGTCTGCATCTGCCAGGTTTCTCACTATCAAGTTCTGTTTTCCAATTTGTGACCAATACATATCTTGTGAGGAGATTCTTGGATACTGTCCATCCTGTTTCTCATCAAATCGTTGTCCCTGCTGTGGTGGCTGCCGGATGGTGCCTTTCTAATTCTCTCGTTGTGTCTACAGTTACTAGTTATCACGTTGTTGTAGGGCACACGTTTCCTTTCTTTCCTTCTATCAGTGTGGACTCACGGTCCTTACTTTGTTCTACCATCATTACTTATTCTGATGTTCAAATTACCCCAGGCTTGGCCAGTGGGAGGCCTTGCAACCTGGCTTCTGTGACTTTGGCGATGTCCCTGTCACTCTCTGAGTCCTTTCTTACTCTTGGCACAGATGCTCCGGGTTCGTCCTGTCTTTCTCTAGTGGAGAGTAATAGTTAGAAACCAAGATCGGGGTGGTAGGGGTGCACAGCGCTCCTGGGGTCTCACTGCTTCTAGGTCCTCTCAGTGGACAGAAGTGGACAGTATGTGTGTTACGCAAACACCGACATCTATAACTATTTTCCTGTCTATTTATCTTCCTACCCATCACTGTGAGTTCATACTGAAACCTCCCACTGCTGTCCAACAGGATGCATTTTAGATTCTCTCTTTCCATATTTCCTCTCTGTCTGTTGGCGGTGAGATGGCTGACTCCCCTCGTCTGTAACATATTTGCTTGCTTGCTCAGCGCTAGGACACGCAGTTCGGAGTCTTATCACCCACGGTCCTACGGGCTGGAGTCCACCCTTCTTCACAGCTGTTTCTGTCTCTGCCCTGACGATACAGTCGAAATGCTGTGTCCAAAAGTGGCGTGGCTTAGTTCTTTTTTCCCCCCTTCTCTGTGTTATTTATTTAAAATACTGTTGGGCTCATTTGTTTCTGATTGTATTCAATTTGGGGTGCCCTTTCCCACCTTTGTTGTCTTTATTTTTTATTTAATTTTTTTATCGAGGTAACACTGGTTTATAACATTATATACATTTCAGGGGCACATCATTATATTTCAACTTCTGTGTATACTACATCGTGTTCACCACCAAAATCTAGCTGCCATCCGTCACTGTGCACCCGTGCCCCTTTAGCCCTCTCGCCACCCCCCTCCCCCTCCCCTCTGGTAACCACCAATCTGTGTGTGTGTTTATCTTCCACATATGAGTGAAATCATATGGTATTTGGCTTTCTCCCTCTGACTTATTTTGCTTAGTATAATACCCACAAGGCCTATCAGTGTTGTCGAAAATGGCACAATTTCATCTTCTTTTATGACTGAGTAGTATTCCATTGTATGTATGTGTATATATATACACACACAAACATGTTTGTTTATTTTGGAGTATAACGTGGTTCTGAAAGACCGTTTATAACAGGTACACTCAGACAGGAGACTCTCCCCTCCCCCACCTGTCCCGTTCCCGCCCCGTCCTTTGAGTCCGTTTCATCCAGGGCTGTAGTTAATCACTCTTGGGAGTTTGTCATTTATCCTTCCTGGGTTTCTTTTTGCATAAATGAGCAGACACGTGTATATTTTCTTATTTCCCCTTTCTTACACACAGGGTGGCAATACTATAGATATTCTTTTGTACTTTGCTTTATTTATTTATTTATTTATTTATTTATTTTGGTGGGACGCCTGCCACAGCATGGCTTTGCCAAGCGGTGCCATGTCCGCAGCCGGGATCCGAACTGGTGAACCCCAGGCTGCCGAAGTGGAACGTGGGCACTTAACCGCTGCGCCACCAGTTAAGTTAAAGTTAGTACTTTGCTTTTTTCATTTGGTGTATCCTGGAAATTCATTCCATATGGGATATAGAGTTTTTCCTTAAAGTAAAATTTTATAGCCACTTTATACTCCATTATGTGGATGTACCACAGTTTATTCAACCGTTTCTTGTGTATGGGGTTTAGATTGTTTCCAATATTTTGCAAATGAACATCTTTTTATATGCTTAGTGCCCATTTTTATATCATTTTTAATGATTTGTATCATTTTTGATACAAAATGATAAAAAATGATTTATATAACTTTTTAATGAATTGTCTCTTCATGTTTTTTGCCCATTTTTCCTCCCTTTCCAGCCGGTTTTTTAGAGTTCTTCATATACTAGTGATATTAGGCCTTTGTTTGTGATATACGTTGCAAATATTTTCTCCCCATTTGTTCATTTTTCAACCTTTGTAATTTTTTTGCCATCCAATTAAAATTTTTTTATGTATTCAAGTTTATTAGTATTTTATTGTATTGCACCTGGATTTTGAGGATGAGTTAGAAAACCTTCCTTATCCGCAGGTCATAGAGAAATTCACTCATGTTTTCTTCTAGTACTCGGTTACCTTTTTCTTTTTCTTTTTTAAAGATTTTATTTTTTCCTTTTTCTCCCCAAAGCCCCCCGGTACATAGTTGTATATTTTTAGTTGTGGGTCCTTCTAGTTGTGGCATGTGGGACACTGCCTCAGCATGGCTTGATGAGCGGTGGCATGTCCGCGCCCAGGATCCGAACCAGCGAAACCCTGGGCCACCGAAGCGGAGCGCGCAAACTCAACCACTCGGTCATGGGGCCAGCCCCTGGTTTCCTTTTTCTACACTTAGATCTCTGAGTCTATTGGAGTTTATTCGTGCGTATGATGTGAAGTATGGATCTAATTTATCTTTCTCCAAGTGGCTAACCAGCTGTCCCTACACCACTTATTAAAAATTCTATCTTTGCCCCAGTGATTTGAGATGTCGCCTTTATCACATACAAGTTTCTCTGTGTACTTAGTCTGTTTCTATTTGAAGACATTCCATTCTGTTTGTCTGTTTGTCTATTCTGCTAAAACTCTGTCTTGTTTTAATTATAGAGGCTTTAGCGTATGTTTTAATATCTGGTAGGGCTTGTGGTGTCTCATAGTTTTCCTTTTCTAGTGTTTTCTTGGCAATCCTTACATGTTTGTCCTTCCATATGAACTTTGATATCAACTTGTCTAGCTCCATGAAAAAGCTGGTGGGTATTTTTATTGGGATTATGTTAAATTTATAAATTAATTTAGGGAGAACTGTCATCTTCTTGATGTTGAGTCATTCTATCCAAGGACAAGAAATGTCTTCCCAGGGGCTGGCCGTGTGGCTTAGTGGTTAAGTTTGGTGCACTCTGCTTTGGCAGTTCCGGTTCAGTTCCTGGCATGGACCTACACCACTTGGCGGTGGCCAAGCTGTGGCAGCAGCCCACGTACAAAATAGAGGAAGATTGGCACAGATGTTAGCTCAGGGCGAATCTTTCTCAGCAAAAAAAAAAAAAAAAAAAAGTCTTCCTATTTGTTCAAGTCTATATTGTATCTTTTTGAAGTGCTGCAATGTATTCTCTTATGATTTTTTTTCTCTTTGTCACCTTATTTTATATATTTGTGTTTTCTCCCTTATTTTTCTTGAGTAAATTAGCTAGTGGTTGCAAAAAAACCAAAAAATACCTAGGAATTTGACTTATTAATTGGGCCTATTGTTTTTTTATTCTGTACCTTATTATTTCCTGCTTTTATCTTAAAAATTTTTTTCCTTATGCTTTCTTTTGGTTTACTTTACTGTTTTCTTTCTTTTGAGTTGACAGTTTGGTTAATTTATTTTTGATCTTTGATTTTTGAGAAGGGCTGTGCATTTTTCTCTGTTCATAGAAAACACTATGTAGTGTTTTCATTATCATTATTTTTTAGAAATTTTGTAATTTCAGTGTACTCTCTCATCCAAGAGTTAATAGGTGGTTTTAAATTTCCAGATGGGAGGGCCTGTTTTTATTTTGATTTTGTTAATAATTTTGAGCTTTGCTATATGGCAATCAGAGGGTATCTGTAATATTTCTGCTTTGTATAACTGACTTTTTTCTGACAGAGAGCTGTCTGATCAATTTCTGAGAATGTCGCATGTGCTGGAGGTGTGTAGGTGTGTTCTCTATTACCTGCGTGTAAAGTTTGATATATATCCGTACATGTACTTGTTATTTAGGTCGTTTATGTCCTTATTTATTTTCAGTTCACTTGATCTGTCTTGCACTGCGTTGGGTGTGTTAAATTCTGTTATTGTATTTCTCTCTGTCTCCCTGCATTGCCTGTGGTCTTTTACTTTATAAACGTGGTTGCTGTTATTTGGTGAGATATCCATAACTGCTATTTGTTCACTGTGAATTGTGGCTTTGACATTGAAAGTGTCCTTCCTTAAGTTATTTTCCATTTCAGGACCTCTGTCCCTGTTCTCTAGTTTTTTCCACTCACCTAATATATATCCTCCCCACCCCTGTGGTTTTCACCTCTGCGAGTCACTTTGTTGTCTCTTACGTAGCACAGTTGGGGCTTGCTTTGTGAGTTAGTTTAAAAATCCTTTCCTTTTTAAATAAGTGAGTCACGCCCATTCATATTTATTGATGTGATTGATAGGATTAGTATTAACTCTCCTGTTATTTTGTCATTATGTGTATTATGTTTCATTTGTTGTGTTTCTTCCCTCTGTGATCATTGCTTCTTAAAAAGGTTTTACAGGGGCTGGCCCGGTGGCACAGCGGTTAAGTTCACGTGTTCTGCTTCTTGGCGGCCCGGGATTCGCCAGTTTGGATCCTGGGTGTGGGCTTGGCATCGCTTATCAAGCCATGCTGTGGTAGGCGTCCCACATATAAAGTAGAGGAAGATGGGCACGGATGTTAGCTCAGGGCCAGGCTTCCTCAGCAAAAAGAGGAGGATTGGTGGCAGATGTTAGCTCAGGGCTAATCTTCCTCAAAAAAAAAAAAAAAGTTTAGCATATTTAGGAAGGTTTGTGTTTTTGTTCTACTGATTATCTTTGGGCTTACCCCTTTTTGAAATGCCCTTAGTCCCTTATTTCCTTATAGAACCTTTTAATCGTAAGTCTCACCTATCGGCTACACGACAATCAGTGAGTTTCCTTGCCTCTTTCTCTTCTCCACCTATATTTTCCGTTGCATTTTTTGACTTGTCAGAACACTTCATCAGCATTCATCTCTGGGTTGATCAAGCTTGCCCCCTAGGAGATTCTTCAAGAAGGGGGATGGGGGCAGGATTTCCTGAATTCTTCTATGTTCATAACTGTTTTTCCGTAGCCCTGACCCCTGGAGGTCAGCCTGGTGGGAAATAAAACCATGGTTCACGTTTTCCTACCTTGAATTTTGAAAATATGGCTTTATCGTTGTTTGCTTCATATGTTGTTTTTGAGAAGTCTGATGCCAGTGTAATTCTTTGGACCTCGCAAGGTATTTCGTCTCTTTGCTTGGGGGCCTGGAGGTTTTTTCTTCATCTTTGGAGTCTAACAGTTTTATTAGGATATATTAGGTTATATCTCAGAGTTGAGTGTTTCAGGTCAGTTCCGCCAGGTACCCAGTAGATCCTTTTAATATGTACATTCAATCTTGTATTTCTGTGAAGTTTTCTTGGATAAATGTTAGTTCTCTTCCATTGTTTTGTTTTTCTTCCTGAGGGACTCACATTTCTTTGGTCTGAGAAAGTTCCATTCTGGCCACTTTCTGCTTTGCATTTCTTCCCACTGTTTGTCAGTTATTTTTAATTTTTGAATTTCTGATTCAAGGTGTTTTGTCCCATCCCAAAAATTTGCTTGAGAAAATTTAATTCAGTTCCAGTGTTCTTCTGTTTCATGGTTGTGTTTTGGGCGAGAGGTTTTATTAGCTGAGGTGTTTTCAACTCTTATTTTTTTTGTTTTCCTGTAGTATCTTTGGATGGACCTATTTAGTTTTCATCTATTCATTTTGTAGATTTGGGGTTATTTACAAGATTCGTAATTCAATTGCACCCACTTCTGTTATCAGGTAGACATTTTTCCATCTTCATCTCCGTATAAGTTTTAATATCATGTGCACATTAAATATATTAAGTTGATTTGAAGTTTGGGTGTTGTCTGTATTCTAGTTATGTTGAAGATGTATTTTTGTGTGTGTAGCTTTTGTCGTTGTTTGTGTTGTTCCGTATTGTTTGCGGATGATATGTGGGGAGAGTTGGATAAAAGCAGCTGCCATTATCTTCAGCTACCTGTAAGTCGAACGTATTTTTTAAGTCATTCTGCCTGTTGGATGGAGAATGGCTTGTAGGTGAGTGAAAGTAGGATTAGAGGAAACCAGAGGTTCAGGGGAGAATACGAGTGATGTGTGCCCTGGGGTGGAAGTGGTGAGAAGGGGTTGGATTTGGGATTATGTTGACGATGGAGCTGACACGATTTGCTAAAGGATTGGACGTGTGGGTGAGGAAATGAGGAGTCAAGGATGCCTCGAAGGGGTCAAGCAGATACTCTCCAGCAGTGTTGCTTGAAGGGGAGCAGCTGGAGTCTGAGCCACGCTCCTCAGTGCTGATGTCTGTCTCAAGGTTTCAAGCCCGATGAAGGGAGACGAGGGGATGCTTGTGAAGGTGACAGTGGGGGACCTTTTGTCATGAAGGTAAGCTGCTCTAAAGGCCAGGAGCTGGTGGGGAGATCTTGTGGGGGGTGGGGTGGGTGAGGAGGGACCCCAGTTTTCAGAAAGTTGCCTGACAGGGTAATACTGACACTGCCTTGACTTGGCCCTATTGGAAATGCCATGTTTCTTCCTCAGAACCCCTTTAACAACCGCTGGTATCAGATAGGCGTCGTCTCATGGGGTGAAGGCTGCGACCGAAATGGAAAATATGGCTTCTACACACATGTGTTCCGCCTGAAGAAGTGGATACAGAAGGTCATTGGTCGGTCTGGAGGTTAGGGGGCCAGCCCCATCCTAGGCTCCTCTCTGCAAAATCCCAGACACCAATGCAAAGCATTATTTTTGTGGTTTGTTCTTGAAACTATAGCTCTCAATAAAAGTGACTGTCGATGAGCCTCGATGCTCGCACTGCTGTTCACGGGCAGCTCAGGGAGAGCCAGCGCCACTGCTGGGTAAACAGGGCTGAAGAACCCCCACCCCCCAGAAGAAGGCCAGGGAGGGGGCGGACGGCAGCCTGAATTTATGAGCATTTGAGGTGCGCCCAACTTGGGGCTTTAATGGATTATCTCGTTTAATCCTCACGAGATGTGGGTGAGTAAACTGAGACTTGAGAAGGAGCTCGTCCAAGGTCACACAACTAAGGGTCAAAGTCAGACTTGAAACAGAAGCCCCTGAGGCCTGTGCTTTTAGTCGCTCTGCTGGAGGGGCGGTGAAGAGCTCGTCCTGGGACCAGAGAAGAGGCAGGAGGAGGGTAGGGGGAGGAGGGGTGAGTAGATGCGTCTTTCTCTCTGCTTCAGACCTCCCTAAGTCCCTACACCCTTTCTCATGGCATTAAAACGTCAGATTTATGACCCCAAAAGGCTCCGTATTGTAAACATCCTGAGTTGTGAGTATGCGGGGCATGGTGGTTGGCAGTATGGGCCCGGGCGTCAGACTGCCTGGGTCCACATTCCGGCTCCCACCTTAAAAGGGATAACCATGGTGAAGTCACCCAACCTCCGTGGGCCTCAGTTTCCTCACATGTAAGATGTATATAATGACACTATTTACCTAATAAGGTTTTGCGGATTACATTAGGTAATTTGCAGAGTGTACTTAGCACAGTGCCTAGTCCCTGCTGAGCTCTCCAGCCACTGCTGCTCTCTTCTCACTGCCTGGCGTGCTGGAAGTCCTTCTGCCACTGACCACTTCCCTCCTCTGGTTCCTGCGAACAGCACATCGGGGGGTTGTTGCTTCCTGGAATTTCAACTCACACAGCAGTTATCAGACTTGAACAATTTGTTTTTCTAAGAAATGGGACCTACACAGTGTGTAAGTGAATTCATAAAGGGTTTGGACAAATGTACAAGTCATGAGAATCACGGAACTTTCAAGATGCCCTTTCACAGCACATTCTTCAAGGTTCCCATGGGCAGAGGTCACTGGTCTGGGATGGCTGACACATGCCCTTCCACGTGGCTCCACGTTTCCAGCTGCGCCAGGGCATACTGCTATTCCTGTGGGGGCTATTTATGACTCGGGGGTCTAGGCACTGTGGCCTACAACAGGTATGACCGTGAGTGTTAACTTGTGTGAAATGCTCATGGCCTGAGAACGCTCTGGAGGACGGTGTGGAAAAGCCTTGTCCCTGAGCTCAGAGGGGAAGTGTGGCGACTAAATGTCTGCCTTGAGCATAGGACAGGGGACTGGAGCATGGATGCCATGTGGCCACCATTCTTGGCCTGGAATCTTCAACCAAGACCTTGGAGCTTCCTGGTTTAAAGCGGGAAGAGAGAAGGGAGGTCTCTTCACCCCCCTCCCCTCCCGTTTTTCCCTTCCCATTTTTCAGTACATCAGGGAACAGAATGAGGACTGAGTGCCTTGCCCTCATTCTTTGGCTGTGGTTGACCGGGAAGCAGGGTAAAAACTGGGAATTCAGTGAGCTTGCAGGATCTTGGCAGCCCAGAGCTTTAACCAGAGCACAGGGGGAAGGATTAAGAATTAGTTGGAATAGCCCCAGTGTGCTTTTTAAACAAGGGCACACATTCTCACGAGGCCGCTTCCCTCCGACACAGCTGCCAGCGCTGTAAGCTCTGGGCACTCTGGTTTTTCAAATCAGCTGTGCTCATTGCAGACCAAGCGTGGCCATGCGCTAAGTGTGTTCTTCTGTAGCCGTGAGCTCCTCCATTGTCCCTTCAGTGGACGTCCTCTCCCACGTCCCCATGAGGAGGAGGGTGAGTCTAATTTCAGGCAGGGGAGGGCCACCTGAAGATCGTGACTGGGATCAACTGTCCGTCAAGCTTTCATTTCTTAAACACCAGTTGAGTAAAAGGTAGTCTAGAAAGTTCCTTTGAACTTAATGATTCTCCAAAAGTCTTCCAGCTAAATCCAGACCCTCTTAATACTGAAGAGGTTTCTGACTGTGCAAGGAGGCCCTGTGGAATCTATTCCAGAGGTGGATCCTCAGTTTACTTTCTGGTCCTCACTCAGGCTGAATGTGCACTAACTGTTAGTCTGGACTAAGAGACCCCAAAACGAGGCAGGAAGCTCCTAAGCCTTCCCATCCTCCTTGAGTCAACTGACCCGAGTCCAGTCCAGTGTGAGGACATGGTAGCCCAGCCCAGCTGGGCACAATCTCGTGCATTTGGGCAGCAAAGCAGTAGGAAGCCTATGAGCTCCTTGGAACCATGGCCGCGACGGGAGGGACTACAGGACCAAAACCTCTGAACAGGGAAGTCTGAGGTCCCTTTGCTCCCCTAGGAGCCGCACGTGGGAAGCAGGAGAGGTGGGGTCCTCTTGTTCCAAAGGCAGAGAAGACGGCGCCAGGCCTGGGAGCCAAGGCAAGGCGGCGCGCTTTAGGTAGTACTCATCCACCTTCCCCAACGGCTCAGCATCCACCGGGCCCAAGAGGAGGGGACAGGACAAGCCGCCCACACTCCGAGATACGGAGCATCCTGGGAGACAGCCATAGTTAATGCAAACTTTATTTATAAAAGACTCTTAAATTAGTTGTATCATGCCATGCATTCATACAGAATACAGTGACCCTTCAGGGCTACAGGGAGAAGAGCTCACAAACTCAAACTATTCAAGAGTTTCTAATAGTTAAAAGCTAGGAAAGATTAGGACAACTTTACAAATGAGCAGTTAAAAATAAAACAGAAGAGAGAGGATGTGGAAACTAGTCTGAGCTGAGAGGAGGGCAGCTGTCTCCAGGTCTGTACACTACACTAACCCACGGACAGTGTTCTAGAGGCGGGGCGCAGACGAGAAGCGGAGTATGTACAAACATTTGTGCCACAGCCACTCCTCCCCGGCCCACGGCAGGAGACACACGACCAGGCTGTGTGCACTAGGCCCGCCCGGGCCCCTGGTAACTAGGAGGACTTCTAGTTTAGTCCACTAACGCTGCAGGGAGCCGGGGGAGGGGCGGCTTCATTTGCGACTGCTCTTTATTCTCTCCAGTCTCTTTTTCAAGTCGTCGATGTTCGCCGTGGAGGAGGACGCGGTCGCGGCTCCTGACGGGTGGGGCTGGCTGGAGTCCAGGTCTGCGTGCTGGTGCTGTTCCCGGGACTCCCGGAGCTGAGAGAGTTTGCTGTGCAGCATGTCTGTGGACGAGGCGACGGCAGGAACGGCTGGTTTGGAGAGCAAAGAGGTCAAGGGAGGTCGGTCGTCTTGCTGTCGAGAGAAGAAGAGACACTGTCTGAGCAGGTCAAGATGCAGCTGTGCAACAACACACACCAGGCCTGGGCCACTTCTCTGGGCCAGCCTGTCCCTGAGTGACTTGTCGCTGCCCTCCCTGAGCCACACAGAAGAAAGGAGCAGTACCTTTGTGTTGTCCAGGCCACATCGCTGTCGGAGGATTTTTAGCCTTTCCAGGTAGACAGAGGGTCCCACCTCTTCTCCATTTGTGTTGCCTATGGAGGACATCGTGCTGGCGGGCGCGGGCATGCAAGTGACCTCCATCTGGGGGGAGATGCCTAGGGAGGAAATGTGGAAAGAACATTCAGATACACACCCAGCCCGCTTCTTGACTGTCCTGGCTCATCTGTCACCAAAGAGGACAATCTGGGGCTTGAACACTGCCTCTGTACTTGAAGACTAAAAAATGTGCAAGAATCCACCGGAGGTGGTGATAAAGGGTGCTCTGCAATCACACGAGGTCAGCTTAGCGAGAACTTCCCAAAGGGATAGAGAAGAGCAGAACGTACGCTGGCCATCCACCCACGTCCCGGCGTATCGGGGGCTGCATTCTTGTGACTCCACGGCTGACCTGGCAATCCAAGAAGCCGCAGGTCCTCCTAGGTATACAGGAAGTGCCCAACTGAAAAACCTACAGACTTTACCTGTGTGCAAGCATCAGACCAGGCTGGGGCAGGTGACACATAGGGGAAAGCTCTCATTCAAACCCGGGAGGACAGCAAGGAGCTCAAAGCTATGGTGTATTCAAGAGGAAGGGGGGAAACTGAGTCGCCCAACAAACGCCCACAGGAGGACCGGAACTGGAGCATGTGTAACCCCCAGAACTGAGAGGGGACAACAAAAACCAAACCGAAAAAATCCATCACAGTTCCTAATTTCCGCGAAGGAACCATTGCAAAATGCAGACATTTAAAATACCTAATTTGCTATCAATGAAAATGCATTACATAAGCCAAAAAGAGAAGGTACTGGGAAGAAAGACTCCCTTATGATAAAAAAGAAAAGTAAAACAGGCTACTCGGGGGCAAAAGGAATCCCTTAAGTAAAGATGAGGAGAACATGAGAGGGTGAGGAGTGAACAGAGAATGACCCCCAAGCCAGCACTGAGGGCTCTGAGTACTCTAGGGCACGGGGGCGTCACTGAGCAGTGGGGCCACATGCTTACGTTGCAAACGTGCTGCTTAGACCAAAAGGGTCAAGCAAATGTTGGCCATCACCAGAGAGGACTTGGGAAATGAGAAAAGGAGGCACTGCCCTGATCAGCCAAACCGTGCGTGTCCGTATGCGGCAGGCCGTTAGATGTTCTGCTCACTACGCGCCAAGAAAAAGACTCTCAGGCTCTTGGCAAGGCGTAGTTTAAGGTGTTAAAAACAAGTTTGAAAAAATGACTTCAGAGAACACACGTGAACTGAAGCTTCAGCCTAAGAAGATACGTGAGAGGAAACACGACCGGCATCTGAAAAGCACGAAGGAGCATGGTTTTACAGGCAGACAAATTCTAGAACGTTGGAGTAGCCGAGCTTCACTGAGCTCGGAAAGGACTGAAGGCAGGACAAACGTGAGCGCTGCCTGGCAGGGGAGAGGAATGTCTGCAGCTGGCTCTTTTTTTAGTTTAAGGCTCTCGACGGCTATTTCCTGTCACAGTCACCTCCTAAGTCTTCCTTTCGTTTCTGATCCTGTGAGCAGAAATTCTCAGATATTGGCTTTTTCACTGTGG